CGGGTAAGCTGTTAAGTCGGGAACCAGAAATGCTTGAGGGCTGAAAACTTAAGGGGATGTTCCCCGCCCAAGTAATTATTAATGAGCTCAAACCAAGCTCTCGGGTATGCGTGGTATCCACGCACGGGCTCACCAAAATCTTTCCCGAGTAAGTTGCTAACTCGAGAACCCGAAAAGCTAGAAAACTGTAGTTTTAAGAGGAAGTTCCCCGTCCAAGTAAGTCTCAACGAGCTCAAACCCACAAATCGGGTATGGGTGGTATCCACGTGCGAGCCCATGAAAATTTTTTCCCAGTAAGTTGCTAGCCCCGAAGCCAGGAAAGTCAGAAAGCTGGAATTTTAAGGGGGGTGTTTCCTGCCAGTTCTGGCAGCCAGTCTTAACTTGCTTAGCTAGAAGCACTTGCCGAAAAAACCGATGCCGGTAGCGACAAAAACTGCGGAGGACTATGCAAAAAATGCATCTTCGCACGGGCCGCCCGTGCGTTGGCCAATTATTTATTCTCAGCTACTTGCCTTCCGTTTGTATCATTTTCTACAACGTTCATGAAAAAAGCCAATTATGATTTTAACATGGAAAAAAGACAACTAACGGTATTTTCATGATTTCTTCCAGCTTCATGATCTCGTATGAAGTGTCCCAGTTCGCGTGATGCGATTTCGAACGCTAACGGATTACGATCCCGCAAAATACGGTTATTTTTAATTGCAGCAGCATACATAGCGAGCAGCTGTGAATACTGTGAAAAATGTTTCTCTTTGAGCGTATCCCGTATATCTGTTCGTTCCAGAAACTTTAACACAAAAGTCTAAAAATATTTAAGAATTTGTACTCCAGAGCATTTCCCTAAATTCTTCATAAAAAAAGAACAAATAACCAGAAATGATATTTTTCTTCGGTTGATGAGACAAGTCCAACCCCATGACATTTCTTTGTGGTCATTTGTCGCACGATATTTCTGCACGGATCCCAGATAGCGCATTTCAGCAATAAACCATCGAACAATTTTTCATTAGCATATGCGCCAAGAAGGACGAATAATGCAAAATTATCGTTGCTCAATGAAAATTCTTCAAAATGTTGAAGCAGATCTCCATAACTACAAAGATGATTGAAGTAAACTGTCAGCACTCTAAGAGGCGTGTATTCTTGGCCAGCTGTTCTTTTTTTTTTCCGTTCTCTCTCTCCCTCTCCTTCTTTCCTCTCTCTCAAACACAGACATCATCATGAGAATTTTTTTTTTTTTTTTAAATGACTTTCAAAAATTTTAAGAAAAACGAATTAACAGGCTTTTTTTTGCATACAGCTCCAGCAATAGAATTTAACAATAGAGATCGCTCCAGAAATGCCTGTATGAACGTCGATGTTACTAAAATGTCGCTAAACCGAACGAACTTCTGTGACTACTTAACTTCAACTGCTTACCACAAAATTTACAGAAGTTTTGCTGCAGAGATTATGCAAAGTCTGCTTTTTTAGCATTAACACTCAGTGGCATGCGATGTAAGCGGCCTGCCCTACTCAGCGGATATAAATTTTGCGATCACGGCAGTATATTGCAAACCTTTCATATGACTTTGCTGCTGCACTTTTTAAGGGCGTAAAGGAATAAGCCATGTACCTTATCACTCTTCCTCAGTATGGCCAGCTTTTGGCAATGATCAAGTATGATACTGCAATCATAGGCGGATCCAGAGTGGCTTCCTGGAGCAAGGGGGGAGGGATTTTTCCCAACACCTCCCTTTCAATTAGCCACCGTATCGGTAACCTCACTACCCCCTTCTCACCCTCCCTCCCGCCTCTCCCTTCCTCTCCCCGCCCCACCTCACTCTCGCTGATGAACACAAAACTGAAAGTAGTAGGGTTCCTGGGGGTACTGAAGAGATTTTTCTACAGTAAAACAAATGCTACGTGAGCCCCTCCGGGGGAGGGTAAGGATCCGCCAATGACTGCAATCAGTGCGGTAGTGATGAGGGAACGGGCATGATCCGCGTCATTTAATTTCACAACTTTTAATTGGCAGTGCTGTGTCTCATGAAGTGAAGCCTCCAAGAGTAGCTTTACAACCCTGGGAACTCTGCGCAGTAACGAACTATTGTTCTATTCCTTTTTTCGTTGTTTGCCTAAGAAACAAGATAGCAACATGAATTTCCAGCACAGAAAGCTAGTCAAGACCAATCCAGCAGCAGCACAAACATAAAAAGATTAATTTTTGAGCGAGGAAATATGTGCATTACGTAATAATTTTTCCCAAAATGTCCACAGAAAAAAACAGTGCAGCAAAAAATCT